CCTGCTGCTCAAGGCCAGAGAGACCTTTGAGGCATGACTGCCTCATAGGTAGGATTAGAGCAGAGATCTGGATGTGAGCTCAGAGCAAGCCCTGTGGGCCTGGCTACCAAGCACAATGGCAGCAGGGAGCTCCCCCTCCCGACCGCACCTCCTATACATACTCTGCTGCCTCTAGGCCCCACATACCTCTCTGGGATGTAACTGGGGACAGGGAAAGGGAGGGACAGTTCCTTTCCATGGACACCCATGCAGGGGAGGTGCAAAAGGAGGGCTGCACTGACCTTGAGACACCCCAGGGCTGCGCACCCACCGATGCGTGTCTGCACCTCTTCATCTTCTAGCTGTTCCAAGTAACAGACCAAAGCCTAGGGGGAGGCAGAGATCAGCATGTCTGCCAGGAGGGCACTGGGAGCTGAGAGCCGGGCGGCAACTCAGCCAGCCCCATCCACAGACAGGACCTCTTCAAGCACCATCCCCACCACTGGGCCTTGCACCCACACCCCCTCCCTCCCACCTTCCCTTGCAATTCACTACCTCCCTTAGTTCTTCATAGAGAATCATAGGGCTGGAAGGGACCCCAAAGCCCTAGGGACAAGCCCTCTTGTCCCTTTCTCTCATTCCCCAAAGGCCCCACATGCCTGGGAACCCCCAGGCAGGCATTCTTCAGGAGCACCGGGGGTGTCAGGCAACTGGCACTTACTCTTTCCTGGAAGCGGGGGTTTTCTGCCAGGCTGCGCAGCTGAGCAGACACAGCACTGATGACCTTGCTGTTGCCCTCCACAAGCAGTGAGCTCAAGGCCTTCAGCCCCTCCTTCTTAAGCCGGCTCTCGGGTACTCGCTTCAATGCCTTCAGCACCACATCCTGGTCATCTGAGTTCAGGTTCTGTGCCAGCAGTACTGCAAGGGAGATGGGTCAGTGAGCACTGGCAGGATTCATCCACATCTCCCAGCACTAGGTGAGCCAGGACATGCCCCTACTCATCTTGGGAGAGAAGACAGGCCCTATCCGCAGGCATTGCCCTGTTGTTTTCCCACCTATAGCTTAGAGCAGTATGTGTGGGAAATGTCTGAGGGGGGCAGGCCTATCCTAGCTTGGCCCAGCATTGCTGCTGGTGCTTTCTGTCAGCAGGGTGAATTGGTGAGTGAAAGATAGGGCCTGTCTGTCCCAGTACCCAAATCAGGGAGGACCAGGGGAAGGACACAGGTGCCTACCTTCCTCAGCCAGCTCTATAACATAGGAATCCAGGGACTCTATGCTGAATGACTCAAAGTAGCTCCAGTACTGGAAGATGGTGACCTGTTCCCCATGGCTGCTCCCAGGCCGCTTGGGCAGCCGACGATCCAGCACATCCTCCACCAGCTTCACACAGACTGCAAGGAGAGAATGCTAAGTCAGTACCACCATAAGTGGAGGAAGGGTGGGGTTGGGGCTTCTCTGCATTCCCAGACACCTTGTTGGGAACACAGCCCAGAGGTACCAGCTGTGCAGGGTTTCCAGCACCAGGACAGCACCCAGCAGCTGGCTCTTTGCCATGTCCTGGCATTTGTTAGAGGGAAAAGATGCTCAAGCCCAGTGATTCTCAACCTCCTTAGACTCCAGGTGCATTCAGAAAGTACCAGCTCTTGGCTTTCACTCATTTTTGACTACAGAAAAACTTTAGAGCAATTTTTCTGTTCCAAAGAACTCAGAAAGACCCCAACAGGTCAGATAGTTTACCAACATGGATTCCAGTTTGAAATCTCTGGGTTTATCTTGTGAATCATGTTTGCACTCCTAAATTTGTGTGGCACCCCATAGCACCCTTGAAAGGATTTTGAGACACTCCAGGGAGCTGGAGCACCCTGGTTGAGAGTCCCTGGTTTAGTCAAAGCACAGAACTGAGAGCCAGGATGCCTAGGTTCTTCTCTCAGAATTGCCCTTTCTGCTTCAGTGCCCCCCATCTGGGCTGGGCATGTTGGAGACAAGTGATGCATCGGGCTGTCAATCAGAGCTGACACATGGCAAGCTGCTGCCTTTTTCCAGAGCTGCCCAAAAGCCCCAAGTCTACCTTGGCAATGAGGATGCTTATGGGCCCCAAAGATGGGGGACAGAGACAGCAGTGGCTCCTAAAGTGTCTGTGCACAGTGAGACCTGAGATGGCACTCACCTGAGTCTGCCAAGCCCAGCTGCCGCTCACTGATGGGCACAGTGTACTGGGCACTGAGTGCCTGTAGAAACCTCTCTACAGGACAGGTGTAGACATTGGGCAGCTCCACACAGCGATCCCAGAAGGGCAACACACCTTCCTTCCGGGTGGAGAATTGCACCACTGCGGGCACAGACACAGTCAGTCAAAGCTGCGTTCACATAGCACAAAGGCATCAAGTCAGTCACCTCCACTGCCGATTCAGCCACTGCTTAGTTGGGCATCCAAAGTTGGGGGACCGGAGTTGGGCATCCAGCCTGGGGGACCCCTTCCCACAGACCCATCAATAAGTGCTCCTCTTGTGAGGAGACAGTGCTGGCCTAGGACAGTCCCATCCCCTCTGATCCAGCACAGACCTGTCAATGACCAGTGCTCTTCTGGTATTATGACAGCCCCCTCTTCGTCATGATCCAGCACGGAGCCCATTATCCAGCACAGCCTGGTGCCCCTGGCCCACACCCCTGGGACACATTCTACACTAAGAGCATTTACCTTCCATGGCTGTGCCAGCTGCCCCTGACTTCTCCTCTGTCAGCTGGCAGACGACCTCCAGCACCTGTGCCTCCCTCATCAGCTTGTCCAGGGCATACATCTCCCGGCACCGCAGGGGGCCAAACGTGCCCAGTTTCTGGAAGGTACAATTACAGCAAAGCTCCTGAGGCAGGGACTGGCAGGAGGGATCTCCAAGCAGCACCACAGCCCCCTCTGCTGTGCCATGCCACTTCTAGCATCGAGCAGGCAGCAGTGGATGCCAACCCACAGCATCTGTCAGACCCTGGCAAGCAGCTAGGGTGACCCTAGCATTGGCAAAGACAGCAATAGAGCCCGTCACAGTTCCTGTTAGTGCTCAGACTCTGTGCCATCCCTACCAACCCGGGGGTGGCCACCCCCCTGGAAGGAATACCTTTCATTCTTTCACACTCACCAGCAGCAGAAGGTTGCAGTTATTGAGATGAAGAACCAGAGCCCTGTCCAGGAACTCATTGCCAGTGCTCATGGGGTCAGTGCTTCCCTCAGAGCCGCTGCAGATGCCAGTGTCCTCAGCCATCACCTCACAGGTGCCTAGAGCCCCATCCCCAGCTCGGGCATCACCAGCCTTCCTATGGGCACAGCAGTGGAACATGTCAATATGCTTCCTGGCTTTCCCACCCCCATTGTACTGCACACCCACTAGCCAGCAGACATGCTGGCTCCTATTCCCCCTCCCAGAAGAAGAGCTCCTCCATGCCAGGGCTGGGTTTGTAATGTCTTGCATTTTGGTGGCAGTAAGTTAAAAGTTTCTGTAAGACTTGCAATATTGCCATAGCCAGGGAGGAGGCGTGTGTGGGGGCAGGGAACAGGGCCTGATCCTAACCCAGGAGACCTCAGAAGTGGCCCTTGATCAGTTCTGTGTATAGTGCCCCAGAGAGGAAAGCACGTTGGAAGCCAGAGCAGCTTCTGCCTGAGGGCTCAAAGGACACTCAAGCCCTTGGGTCTATCTGGAGGGAGGGGGTATAACCCTCCTTACACTGAGAGAGAAGAGATTTGCCTATGACTGCACAGGAAGTCACCAGCATAGTCCCAGGAGTCCTGGTCCTTCGTTACGCCCACTAGAATCCACTCGTGTCCTGCAAGAGCAGAGCCCAGGTATCTAGAGCTCTTGTCCCTTCTCCCAGTGGGGTGGTCAGCCCACAGGCAGCATGCCATGCCAGGGACCAAAAAGACAGGTCTATGTCGGATCTATAGCCACTCCCCAGATAGCTGTAGAGCAGGCAATGAGCCAGATGTGTTGCTCTATCAAAGGGTCCAGCCCCAAGTCTAGCTGGACCCTGGAGGGGAGGTGGCAGCAGCTGGGCCATGGGTTTGTCTCTGCATCCCAGACCCAGGAAGAAGCTGCTCCTTGCACCAGGAAAGCACCGCAGAGGCCACACCACCAGGTGGCGCTGCCACCACACAACTTGCAGGCACGTGGCCTACTGGGCTCTATTGAGGTGGCCATGTCAAGGCTGGGCAACACTGTCACGGCTTCTGGAACCCAGGGCACTTGCCTTGGGAGGCATGGGCCCTCTCTGGGAGCTCCAGGGCACTGGGGTGGCCAGCAGGCTATGTGGATTGGGGCAGCTAGCCCAGGGCAGGCTGCCTGGTGCTAGTCACCCTACTCAGAACACAGGATTAGGACTGAGGTTCCCAGTTCAGCACTGCCCAGCCGGGCCTGACAACCCCCCGGCACACCTACCTCTCGCTCCTGCCACCTTCTTCCTCCGAGCACTCTGAGTCATCCATGTCAGAGGTGTTTAGGAAGCTGAAGCTCTCCAGCGCATGCTCCACCGTCAGGCTCATGCTGGAGGCACGGCTGAGGAAGACGCCCTGCTTGTGCTGCAGGGAAGCAGGAGCAGCGTGGTGACGAGCAGGGCCTGTACCTGTGAGCGCACCCCACCTAGCACTTGTACCTACCAGGACCCTTACCAGAGGCCCTAATGTCTGAGCTGCTTGACCCCACTCAGAGGCAACAGATGCCTCGCTCCACAGGCAGGGCTAGCTGGCAGACAAGCCGGTCCTCATAGCAGCAGGCTAAGCTGGCACAGTACTCCATGTTGCATCTGCTTCCCATCACCCCAGGATCTGACACAAGGGCACAGAGGCCACAGGGGACTTTCCATTCACCCTGCTCTGACCATCCTGCTCAGGAGCTGGGACCCTTAACAGGGCCTCTGGGCTGGAGTGCTGCCCCTGGGCTCCTGCCCCCAATCTCAGGGGCACATGGAATATGCTGCTCACAACCTACTGCCCCCAACAGTGCGGGGGGGGGGGGGGGGGGGGGGGGGGGGAGGGGGAGAAGGAGTCAGGATCAGCCCCACCCACTGCCACCTCCTTACCATGAGGATCTCCTCCAGGCGTTTCAGCTCCCGCTCCAAGGGCTGCAGCTCAGGGAACTGTCCCCGGTAGTCATCCAGGGCTGAGCTCAGTGAGCTGATGGCCTCATCCAGGCCAGAGTCCACAGGTTTCACCCTTGGCACCTCTGCGGGCACAGGGGTTGGTCTCTCCTCCTCCAAGACCTGCTTCAACACTACTGGCTGACTTGGGTCCGCCTTGCACCCCTGGGGTGCTAGGGCTTGGCACAAGGCTGTTTCGGGTTGCACCAGTATGGGCACACAGGCCTCAGCCCAAGAAACAGCCGCGTGGGGCTTAGCTTCCTGCCCTCTGTCCTTCCTCACCCTGGTCTCTGGCATTGGATTTGAGGCCCCAGGGAGGGAGTTCATTTCTAAAAGAGGCAGCTCCCTGGCACTGGAGTCCTCAGAGGCTGGAGAAGCCTCCTGCACATGGGCACTAGCACCCCCTGTGTCCTGGAGCTCCCTGCCATCCATTGCTGCATCAACGCTGGCCTCGCTGATTTGGCTCAGAGTCCGGGAGTAGGGCACGTGTCCATTTGCCACCACCTCCTTTCTGACACAGCATGGCTCCTCTTGCTGATTGGGTGGTTCAGCCGCAGCAGGGGTGCCTGCTCCTGCTTCCTCTTGCTGGGAGAAGGAAATCTCTATGGCGGGAGCAGAGGCCTGTACCTCAGGCTGCACAATGGGTTTGTGGGAGGCATGGCGGGTGCTGCCTGACAGCTGGGGGCTAGAGGAATCGTCCGACGACTCTGACGAGATGGACCAGGCTGTGCCATTTTCCAGCTCTTCCTGTCGCCGCAGCATGTTCTAGAGAGAGCACAGCAGGTCACCACAGGTCCAGCAAGCCCTGGCAATGGCTCCCTTCTCCTCCAGGGGCTCATGCCAGCTCAACTTGGCCTCAAGTGCTTCTTCATTGCAGCAACCATCCCCCTCAGACCCCCTGGGGCCCCTGGAGGCACCAAAGTCTGGCAGGGAATGCCCACAAGTTAACAACTTGGGCACAGTTTCTCCCAGGCTCAACATCATTCCCCAGAAGCTCCGAGAGGTCCCCTCATCCTGAGGTCCCTTAACAGTGACCCTTGTGGCACCCATAAGCCTTTGGAGAAGATTTACCAAGGTGTGGAATGAGTTCAGGCCAGGCCAGATCTCAGACATGACCCACTCACACTTGGAGGAGTGCCCAGCTCAGAAGAGATGCCAACTCAGCCTCTCCCTTGGATGTTACTACAGCCTCCCAGCCCAGTGCTCCCACGAACAGCTTAGGAGGAGAGTGTTGTCACCTGGAGCTCAGGCTGGCACGAGCCAGGCCAGGCATACAGAAATCTGTTCTTCATTTCCCACCAGCATGGGAGTGGCTTTGGGGCAGGAAGGAATGTCACAGCAAACACCAGCATTGGCCAGTTCAGTCTCTGCCTCGCCTGTTTCCCAAGTTGCACTCCCTGGTGTAACCAGAGTCCCCTCCTCCACCCTCAGAGCCTATGCTAGAACCAGAAGCCCAGGTCCCAGCCACTGCTGCTCTAATTGCCATCCCCCACACTTTTCTCCCAGGGCTGGGATAGAACCCAAGAATCCTGGCTCCCAAGCTCCCTGCTCTGAGCCACACTTACATCCCAGATAGAAACTAAGAATCTCAGCTCCTAGACCCTGCTTTAACTGTTAGACCAGGCTCTGGGTACAGCCTTCAGCACCTGCCCTCCAGGACCTGCCCCAGAGCCTCCGAAGCTCATGATGGATGGGTCCCATGCTCACGGCTGGTGCGAGGGGGCAGCCTGTACAGACTTAAGGCAGGGGGAGCTCAGAAGTGCATACACAGACCAGAGGCTTCTGTTCATCTGCTGCATGAGGGAGCTGGAGGTGCATCTCATGCCAGGCAAGGACTGGATGGGAAAGACCAGGATACGGACGCAGATCACAGCCAAAGGGGAAAGGTCTAAGACTATGGAAAGCAGCTACTGCACCACCACCACTAGCCTGCAGGGGGCTGCAGCGAGCTGGCACACCAGACTACTGTGCAGCAGAGCATGCAAGGCAG